TGTGTACATAGATCTATTCCCGTCATTGTATATAAATGCATTTACATATACACATGCCTGTATTTAGACCTCTATAAATGTCACCGTTGTTGTTTTTTTTTTAAAGATATGCAAATTCTTGGAAAGTGCTCTAAGACTTACGGAGTCAGATATAATGGGTGGGGTGGGGGTGCGTGCAGCAGTCAGTGTTTAAACAAGTCCTCAGGTGATCAGGATGCACTCACATGTGAGAACCACTGCTTTGCATACGGGAGAAAGATGGCCGCCTTCGATACTCACCGGGGAAGTTCTGCCCTGGTGGCATCATCAGGTAATTGACAACCAGGGCTCTCTAATCCTGTAAAGGTTTCCAGCCTCAAACCCTGACACAGAGTTGCTATCAGTGGAAATCTATCTGATGGCAGTGGGGTTGGGTGAGGGGGTCTAAAGATCACACAAAAGATACTTGACCAGCACTGTGTGTAGCAACCAAACACTGGGAACAATTCAATGCTCACTGATACATTGTGGATTAATTGTAATGTATTCCCACAACAGAATACTACGATAACAGTATAAACGATAAGATTGAGCAATGGGGGAAAAGGTGGAAAATGCTTAAACTTTACAAATTAATTGAAAAATTTTAAATGAGCTTGTGCCTACAGAAATGTAGCAGTGGTGGTTACAAATAATATATATAAAATATTGTAAGTATTTGAGATTTTTAATATAACAAAAATTTCTAAAGTGTAGAATTCAACATTTATGCTCTAAAGAATGTTGAAACAAAGTCTTGCACAAAAACGTAACAGTTGTTCTTTCACCCTATAGGGGCATATTCGTAGCATACTCGGCCATCCTGGCAGGCTACAGACTATTTTCTTCAAATTTCAACTTGAACATGAAGAAAGCACAAATTTAATCTCTAATTGCCAGCATATTTCCTTATGTTCTCCAAGAAGAATCTTTTAAGCTAACGTTTTATAAAAGCAGCCAATCTCCTATCAAAGGATATAGCGTCTGGGGTCTTAAAAGCTTGAAGGTAAACAAGCGGCCATCTAGCTCAGAAGCAACAAAGCCCACATGGAAGAACACATCAGCCTGTGTGATCACGAGGTGCCAAAGGGATCAGTTATCAGGTGTCAAAGAACAAAAAAATCATATCATTGTGTGCTCACCTCCATGATACGATCGCTGAAGACAAATGGGTACATAAGCAAATGTGGTGAAGAAAGCTGATGGAGCCCGGCTATCAAAAGATATCGCATCTGGGGTCTTAAAGGCTTGAAGGTAAACAAGCAGCCATCTAGCTGAGAAGCAACAAAGCCCACATGGAAGAAGCACACCAGCCTGTGCGATCATGAGGTGTCGAAGAGATCAGGTATAAGGCATCATCAGAACAAAAACAATCTTACCATAGTGAATGATGGGGGGAGTGCAGAGTGGAGACTCAAAGCCCATTTGTAGTAGCGATGAGAAATACAACTTTCCTCTAGTTCCTGGATGCTTCTTCCCACCCCGCACCCCTGCCCCACTGTTGTGATCTGAATTCTACCTTGCGGGTCTGGCTGGACCAGAGGATGTACACTGGTGCAGATGGGAGCTGGAGGTGCAGGAAGTCCAGGGTGGATGATCCCTTCGGGACCAGTGGTGTGAGTGGCAATACTGGGAGGGAGGAGGGAGAATGGGTTAGAGGGAGGGAACCGATTACAAGGATCTATGTGTGACCTCCTCCCTGGAGGACGGACATTAGAGAGCTGGATATGACAAAATAAGCAATTTATAAATTATCAAGGGCTAATGAGGAAGGGGGGAGTGGGGAGGGAAGGGGAAAAAAATGAGGACCTGATGCCGGGGGGCTTAAGTGAAGAGCAAATGTTTTGAGAATGACAAAGGCAATGAATGTACAAATTGTGCTTTACACAACTGATGTATGTGTGGATTGTGATGAGAGTCGTATGAGCTCCTAATAAAATGATTTAAAAAAAAAGCAGCTAATCTCAGTGAAGGGAATTAGCACCATCTAGTGAGAGACACAGGTAGGAAAATAAGTGGGAGCCCTTGTGGAGCAGCAGTTAAGTGCTTGGTAGGAACCAGAAGGTGGGCAGTTCCCCATCAAGGTGCTCCACGGGAGAAAGCTGTGGCAGTCGGCATTTGAAAAGATCGTGGCCTTAGAAACCCGATGGCTTCGCAATTCCATTCTGTCCCATAGTGTAAAACAGAAACAAAAACGGCTGTCAGCTAGTGAATTCCATCTCACGGTGATCCCATGTGTATCAGAGGAGAACTGTTCTTCATAGGATTATTTAGTTATTTATTGGGATCATTTTATTGAGGGCTCTTACAATGCTTATTACAGTCCATACATCAATTATATCAGGCATGTTTGTACATACGTTGCCATCATTCTTTTCTAGAAGTTACTTTCTATTGAGCAGTTGGTATCAGCTCCTCTTCCCCGGCCTACCTCCCCGCATACACAGATAGGGATTTTTAATCACTGGTTTTTCAGAAGTAGGTCACCAGGCCTCTCTTCGGAGGCATCAGAGTGGACTCAGACCTAAAACCTTTTGCACTGTTTGTTAACCCTTCATACCACCCAGGGACTATATGTCTTATTAGGAAATTACTGTCCTGGGTTGCTATGACTTGGAGTCAGCTTCATGGCAGGGAGCTTGAGGACTTTTTGTATTTGAGGACCAGGGAAAATAATCCCAAACCGCTTATGTAGCAGTGTAATCGACAAACTGAAGAGTATATAAACATGGTGGCAGTAACATCTAATTGTTCCAGTTTATTAAATTAAGTGTAATAAACTTCAATCAATTTGAGCAATCTCTACATTCGTCTTTAAGACCTAACATTTCTTCTGTAATCATTTAAGAATCTTGCTAGAAATATTCTATTCATGGAAGTTGACAAGGAAGATAATTTGCTACATTGGAAATACCACAAAAATAGGACCCACACACGCTCCTTGTAGCCAGATCATACCGGGCCTTGGCCTTGCCCTTACCCTGCAGACCGGGAGAGCCACTGAACATTCTGACTGGACAAGATGACTTCGGCGGCTGCATGCAGAGTGGATTCATGTGGAAAGTGCGTCAAGGAAAGAAGATCGGTTAGTTGGAGGCTGTTCGTGGGAATCCAGACAGAAGAGGCCAAGGTCTGAACTGCAGTGGACACAAAGGGCCTGCTGAGAATGCAGACCTTCTGTCCATCCTGCTGAGAATGCGGACCTTCTGTCCATCCTGCTGAGAATGCGGACCTTCTGTCCATCCTACTGAGAATGCGGACCTTCTGTCCATCGGGCTCAGAGACCCGCAAGCATGTGGTCTGACTTCCCACATGGTTTCCATTATCTGGAATGCTTACTGAAGCAGATTTCATTCTTTGACACATTTGTCTTATTCCTCCTCCTTAAAGTTAAGTTCTTTCCTCCTTAAAGTTAAGAAATTTCTTCAGCATCGATGTAAAATAAATGACGACTTCACTGACAGGATCCATGCATGAGGACACTTCTTTCAATGATTTAAGTGTTGTGGTGGTAATAAAAATACAGTGGGTTTCACCTTATTTAAAAAACACAAAAACTTTTCTTAAGCGTTTTAGGAAGCCTTATGGTAACTATGCATATATAACTCCTATGGATTCAAACATGTTCCCCCAGATAATGTGTGTTGTAATTCACACCCTTTGGAATTGATTCATTGAAAATGGGCTGGGTTACACTTGTGATTAGCATCCCATTTGGCTGTGGGTTGTCTTTGCGATGTTAGGAGGCAATATTAGAGTACAGTGCATCTTGAGTTGGTCTTCTTGAGATATTACGATTGGCAGACTAGGCAAGCAGAGATGGGGGAAGCAGAGTTGAAGCCACATGGAAATCATCATCAAGGAACAACACATGGGCCTTCCCTCAGAGCTGAGAGACCAACCCACGCCTAGAATCAGTCCCTAGAAACCACACCCCGAATTCAGGCTTCTAGCTCCCTAAGCAGTGAGAAAATACATCATTTGTTAAAGCCACTCAATGTGCTATTTCTGTTAAAGGTAGCACTGGATTCCTCAGACTTTTTGCTGGTTTAAAACCAGCAATGTCCCTTACTCTGTTTGAAGGGCCTGAAGGGTTGCCTTGTGGTCTGTGTACAGGTTCCACAGGCCCACAATTCAGTGTTCCGGGACTCCCGTTCTTCATAATGTCGGCCAGTCTGTTATAATGCACACAGTCAAGTGCCTTCGCGTAGTCAATAGAACCTGGATAAGTCTGTGCGTATTCACTGCTGTCAGGCAAGACTGGTCTGAGCTCGGCAACGATGTCCCTCATTCCTCGTCCTCTTCTGAATCCAGCTTGAGCTTCTTGCCTCCCTCAATGTCCTGCTGCAATCTTCAAAATTCTCTTCAGCAGCACTTCACGTGCATGAGGCGTCAACGAGACTGTCAGTAATTTGCACCTTCCTCTCTACTATGGATCCAAATAGCGATTGTTTCCAGCTGCTTGGTCAGAAGCTGTTTTACAAATTTCTTGGCCTAGCGTGGGTGCCTCCAGTGCTCACCAGTGTGCTGAAGCATTTTAAGACGTCTTAATAAATACCAAAAAGAGAGGACACAGCCTACAAAAACGGACTTCTAATAATTCATCTCTACAGCAACACTGTGTATAATAAAATAAAAATGGATTTTATGCAAGCTAAATGTCACTCTAAAATTCTACAGTACTTTAATCAAAGTGATTTTCTTAGGTCTAGGTCTTCCAGTTAGGGGTGCCAAACAGTACCTATGCTGCCTTTAGAAGACTCACGATAACTTTGAACTCGTACAGCAGTGAACTCCACTAGGGATGATGGCGGCGACGTTGTCCCAGCTCCTGCCTGACTCACTGCACTGCTTTGGGAGAGCCATTACCTTCTTTTTTTTTTTAGGATTTTTCAATGTCCTTCTCAGGCAACCTCAGTGAACTGTAAACGGCAGTACGGACAGAGCAGACTCCGGAACAGCCACAGCTGCCCAGCACGTACCTGAATTAAGGAAGAACTGGGGAGAGTCTCCATGGATGCCCACTGTGCCTGGCCCCAGGGAGTCCGACAGCGTATTCACAAAGGAAAACACTCCGCTCATAATCCCAAAGCCCAAGCCAGAAACTAAAGAGAAAGAAAAAACAGTGTTAAACCCTTTCTGTGCTGTGATTTCTCTTCACAGTGAGTTTCCAAGACATAGGGAACACTGTTTTATGAAAGCGCATGGTACTTCTGCTGTGGGAGACGCTGGGTTTGAAAGGTGGCATCTGGTGGCGAAGTGATGCCGAAAGTGGGAGAGGAAAGAAAGGTCCACAGGGATGAAGGAGGGAAAGAGACATTCAAGACAGACAGAGGATAAAGCTGAGAGCAATGAAGACATAATGCTAACTCAGGAAAAAAAAAGCATGCGGTTGTATTAACTGCACTAATACCGAGTTCTCCCAGTACAGCTAGCATCGTGGAAGACACCCAGATGGTAACAGAACATCACTTAGAAACTGTTGACTAGAGTGTGCCATTGCTGTGCTGTGCCATGCACTCAACCCCAGCTCGCAGCGATCCCAGGTGACAGAGTAGAACAGGCTCCCAGGGAGGTGGGCTGCCAGGTTCTCGCACCCACTGAGCTGCTGTGTGGGTGCAAACTACCAGCTGTTCAGTTAGCAGTCAAGGGCTTAACCATTTGTGCTCCTTACCTAGCATCCAGACAGGTGAAAATTCCAACTTGATTACCAGTTCATAAACAGAGAAGTGGGTTCAGTTGCGTGTGTGTGTGTGTGTGTGTGTGTGTGTGTGTGTGTGTGTGTAGGGTATTGGAAAGTTTGAAAAAATATACAAATAATTTGTACCCCTACGCCAAGACAGAACAAAATACATGAGATGTATGAAGATACAAGAGCAAGACGGCTAATATTCTTCATGAGAGCACCCAGTTCATCCTTACCATAGGCCAGCAACCGCAGAGAGGGTGCTGCGTCATCCGGATTTATAGCCTTCAAACCTTCATTGGCTCTTCTAGAAGAAAAGGAAAGGTCGTTTTAAAAGAGAAAAGCAGTGAATCAAGAAAATATCCAAGGTACTTCCAATCCAGATGCTTAGCGAGGCTTGTGGTTAGGCTATACACAAAGTCTGAAATCCATTTGAACAAAATGGAGCAAATTTTCAGTTAACCAAAACCCAAACCAAAATTCTCAACTAGCTCCTCTTGCCTTTTTGCTGAGCTGCACACAGAGAAAGGGAAAATCTACCACCAACTACTCTGAGGGAGGAAGAGGGGCTTCCCGCTACCACGAAGTTATAATTTTGGAAACCCAGAGGCTGTCTCCAGGGTCACTGAGTTGGAATCAAAAGCAGAGAGTCACGGGATTTATTACTGCACAGTCCTGTAACTCTCCCTACTTTGTTCCTCTCCTGCCCAGGATAGACTCATTCTTGCCAACCACTGTGCCACTTTCGACTCCACTGGCCCTAAATTCTATTCCTCTTTCAAAGCAGAGTTGAAGTAACAACTTCTCAAAGATGCCACCTTTCCCAATGGTTGGTAACCACTATTTTTCCCTTACTCTTAAATTCCATAACAATGACAGTCTCAACTTGCAGTTGAATAATTAATTATGTGGTCTTTTGATTCTGAAATAGTTTACATGCCTGGTTTATATCTCTATTAGGCTTTGGGGATGTGAGCAGTCTGATACTTTTACTGTAGCCTGCAGAATAAAATGCTACCCACAGAATCAGAGATAAGTGAACATGTGGATCATACATTTCCAAATTTATTTGGCCAACCAGCCCTTTTCAAGGAAAAAAACAACTACTCGGCACTCGCTGGTATTTAAGCACTTTTGTACCCATAATCCAGGGTAAAGTTAGTGGTGGCTGCTTTTGCAGGTTCCCCGGATCCTTCCAGTGCTCCCCAGGGTGTGGTACTGCCTACTTTGGGAGACATGATGTAGAGGGCAGGATAGACTACTACTCAATCAGAAATGATCTTGGGAGGGGTCTTGTCCGTGTTTCCATTATGAGTTTACCAGGCGCCTGCCCCACTCTGACATAGACATGTTAGGAAGGCCAAGTGTGACTAAGTCATTCCATTATGACCAGCATTAGCAATCTGGGGTGGCTTGAAAACCAAGGAATAATATTAAGATCCTGACTCCAAAAAAGTATTTAAATTTATGTACTGGGAAGTATGAGTGGGTAACCGCCCCTGCCCCCCCCCCAAAAAAAACAACAACAACAACAGAAAAAAACTCCACTAGGCAGAACTTTGGTAGTTTGCACCCCCACCCCCACCCACCACTAGGGTAGCATCCAGAAACTCGCTCTGAGTTAGTGCACCCAGTGGCTTCTGTGATGCTGGACGCTATGTCCCTGGTATTTCAAACACCAAAGTGAACATGTTCCAGTAGCGCTTCCAGATTGACAACAGCCTGTGAAGAAGGGATAGGCTATCCACCTTGGAAGAATTAGCCATTGAAAACCTTATGAACGGCAGCTGCACACTGTCAGAATAGATTGCACCAACTTCTTCCATATGAAATTGATCAAACATGCACTCAGGATACACAGATGATTATTGGCAATTGGAATGCAAAATCAGGAAACAAAGAGAAAGAAACAGTAGTTGTTCCTTCTTTGGTGATAGAAATAAAGCTGGAGCTCTTATGATAGAATTTTGCAAGGTGAAGGACTTCTTCATCGCAAATGCCTTTTTCCAAACACACGAATGGCAACTGTACACATGGCTTCTCCCGATGGGACACACAGACAACAACCTGATTGCACCTGTGGGACAAGACGGTGGGGAAGCTGATATCAGCAGTCAGAGCACGCCTGGGCTGCCTGTGGGCAGTGGAAGAAAACGGACCCAATCCACGAGAGCCAGCACATGCCCTTGAGTATGCCCCACGTGCACCCCGAGGACATCAGGCACCGATTTGACTCAATGGACACCGTGGCAGAGGAGCTGATGAGCTGTGGGCTGACATCATGGACGCCATTCATGAAGAAAGCAAAAGCTTATTTAAAAGACAGGGAAGAAAGAGAAGATCAAAACGGATGTCAAAAGAAACTGAAACTTGCTGTTAATTATACAGCAGCTTTGGCAAATGGAAGAAACGAAGTAAAAGAAGTGAAAGAATATTTCAGAGGGCAGTTTGACAAAACAAAGGAATGTGCAAAGAAAATCAAAAGGGAAAAACAGTCAGCATATCTTTTTTTTAAAAGTATTGTGATATATTTATTTATATTATAAATAAGTGAAATTTTCTCTTCAAGCATGGTGCAGCATGGGTAACAGTCTTAATAGGACAACAGTAAACTACATTGCTACATTTTGTGACAGTATGCGTCAAAAGCCAACTTCAGTGCAAAGGTTGAGATAGCTTCTTTCTGACCAGATCAGAAATCCTCGGGGCAGTCTTTGCAAGAGCACAACGAAGATCATCTTCCATAATACACAAGCCTACTTTTGTATGTAGACTTGATAACCAACAAGCTGGAAAACCCTGTTGCACAAAGATATGTTGTTGGAAATGGAAGAAGAAGGCGCAACACAGTCTCACACAGAACAGGATATGACTGCAGACACACTTGATCAGCATATCTTAAGTTAAAAGAACTAAAGAAAAATTCAAGCCTCAAATTGCAATACTAAAACATAATATAGACAAAACACTGAACAATGTAGGAAACATCAGAAGAAGATGGAAGGCATGTACAGTCATGGTACCAAAAAGAACTGGTTGACACGCAACCATTTGAAGAGGAAGCAGATGATCAAGGAAGGAAGAAGTCCAAGTTGCACTGAAAACATCAGCCAAACCAGGTTCCAGGAACCGACAGAATACCAACTGAAATATTTCAACAAGCCAATAAAACACTGGATGTACTTATTTACTTATGCCAAGAAATTTGGGAGACAGCAACCTGACCAACTGAATGGAAGAGATCGATATTTGTGGGATACAGAAGGGTTTTCCCCAGGTTGTCCCCCATATTGTATGCTGGGCCTGGGATGCTGCTTGCTAGTGCATGGTGGGTAACTGTACACTTGGAGGTCAGCTCTTAGAGGTTATTATCTCCCTGAGGGCATCAGCCATCTAGACTAATCAGACCCTATTGTTTGTCCCCCCCTAGGTGGGGCCCACTCCCTGCTGATAAGGATAGTGGATTGCATCCCTGAACAAGAGTCCAGAGACAACATCAAGCCAATTCAAGGAGGACCAAGGTTGGGATGCCATCTTGAATCTAGGGTCCGCCCATCTTGTCACATGTGTACCCTTAGTGCCACCCCTTCTGATTGCATGTACACCCTTAACTTGTCCCCCTCCCATTAGATGTATCCCTATTGTATAACTCCTTCCCATTATGACATAATCAGGGGGGCTTGCACATCCCTGAAAATATACATATGCCTAGATTGGAAATATATTCTCCCTCCCTGATATGATCGCTGAAGACAAACAGGTGCATAAGCAAATGAAGTGAAGAAAGCAGATGGTACCCAGCTATCAAAAGATATAGCGTCTGGCGTCTTAAAGGCTTGAAGGTTGCCAGTCCCAATCCCAACTACGTGTACACCTGCCCCTCCCTACAGAAGAATTTATTTCAGAGGACAGCACTGAATCTGCAGCTCCCAGAGACAGACATGTCTGGTCAGAGCACACGGGAGCAAATGAAGGGGGAGGAAGAGAGTGGAGCACATCCTGGCTCACCAAGCCCTGAGGATGATAGTCCCGCTCAGAGCAGCCAATCCACAGAGAATACCACACGGCCGGCCCCACTATGAGACACAATATCCCTCACTGACCCATAGCTCTGCAGGGGACAACACTGGAGATACAGTATGGGAATTCCGACTGATCTGATCCCCACCACCCCAAGGCAAAACACTAAGGGTGTGGAACAGAACAACATGGGGAAGTCCCCAGGGAATACAGAAAATAGACGTTGGGACCAGGGCTTGGCACCCCAACAGACTGGACTGGAAAACACTCCTAAAGGCCAACAAACAGTCCCTGAACTAACTATAAGCTTTTCTTTCTTGTTGTGTTTTTTGGTTTTTTCTGTCATTGGTTTGTTGTTATTGTTGTTTTGTTGTATATTGTTGCTTTGTTTTGCT